ATTTTCTGTCTTTCAGATGAACTCTCAACTGGCAGCCAGACTTCAAGGAAGAGTGAGAAGAAACATCCAGAGAAGCGACGCTGCTCCTCGTCAACTACACAATTATTCTCAAGAAGGTACGACTATGGTTCAACTGTGAGTTAAATTGTACATTTATGTAACACTTTTCCACTCATTAAGGCTTTTAAAGTCATTTATGTATCAGTGCCAAACATTCACACACTCACACTGAAGTGCCAGGAAAGGTGCTACCTCCAAGTTTGACATTTAGTGTCTTGCTCAAGGACAGTGCAGCAAAGGTTCAGGAGGAACCAGAATTGAACAAGCAACATTCTGATCACTGGGCAGATTCTTTCCCTCCTGAGCCGCTGCTGCTCACATATTTTCTGTTCTGCTTCACAAAGTTTCTGAACAATCTGTCTCCATACGTTTGTAAAGTTCCTCTACATATAAACTCTAAACCAGTGGTGCTCAATACGTCGATCTCGATCTAGCAGTCGATCTCCAAGGTCGTGTGTGTAGATCTCCGTGTCTCGTCTCGGACTCGTGTTTGGACTCGGTCTTGTCTCTCACTCGAGGTTTGACACTCAACAAGTGTGATCATATTTGATTGCCGGCCGCTGCTGTTGGTAATAAACTTGTAGCGGGTGCAGGAGCGTGTGGGGCGTCTCAGTGCAGCCTGTGCGCTCATTTGAAACCCGCGGAGACTCTACGGCGCATCACAAACACACACGCTCCCTATGCACGGCTCGTCTGCGACAGCGTGTGCCCTCGTGTACCAGCGTGCATCACAGGGCAGGTTCAACTTCCTAAACATCCTACCTGTCCACCTGCCTCACGTCAGCACGCCGCCCCTCGCCTTTTCACGCTCTCGCTCCTTCCTGCGTACAGCCAACACAAGCCCCTCCCACAGTGCGGCTGATTAGAAGAATACTGAAAATGTTTAGTTCTTGTCAGTTCTTTCTGCGAGCTCCTGTAACATGTCAAACACACTCACACTTTACACTTGTTCACTTTATCTTCTTATACTTTCCTCAGAGCTTTTGTTTAGACTGAGTTTACAAAAACCACCCAGATTACTCTGAACTTTGTTTATACTTTGGGTTTTCAGATTAATACACAGTGGACTGGAGAAACTGTGAGTAATACTTTTGAATTTCATTATTCACAAAAAGGAAGAGCTACTTAAGAAATTCCAAAACAATCCTTTTGTTTATTTGATAAGAAATGCCTTAATGGAGAATGTAGAGAATACTAATAATAGTATTATTTTATGTTTGTTAGCTGTACTTTATGAAAAACATTTGACATGTTTTTATGTTGGAGCCTGGAATGTGATCAGCCAATTATGTCCTGTTCATGTTTGCAATAAAAAAGATTGCAAAGATTTGAACCAGCAGATGCTTTTGTCATTTGGTTGTTCAGGGATTAATCAAAAGAGTTATTTCAAATTATTTCACAAACCAAGTCGTCCAGACGACTTTATTGTGTTGTGTTTTGGTGCGTGTGTGACCTTTGACATTTTAGATTTGATCTGAGTTATTCATGTGAATGTTCTCAGGTGTTTTGCTGCTCATATAAGTCAAAAATCAAAAAAGACGTCTGAATAGTGAGTTTGACATCCTCGGTCCCCACCGGTCGCCTCTAAAACACACGATGACGTCATGTTTTGAATATGCAAATGAATGACGTCACAGGTCCCCATGAGGGTCCTGTACCCGACAGGTCCCCAGACGTCAGTGAAATGTGAGGTCCGTCTCCCAAGGGGCAGAGTCAAGTTTTCAAGTGACGGCTGTGATGGTCTAGAGCAGGACTACTAGAAGGACAGAACAGGACTAGAGCAGGAGAGCTAGGACTAGAGCAGGACTAGAACAGGACTAGAACAGGACTAGAGCAGGACTAGATAGAGCAGGACTAGAACAGACTAGAGCAGGACTAGAGGGACTAGAGACTAGAAGGACTAGAGCAGGACTAGAGCAGGACTAGAGCAGGACTAGAGCAGGTAGAGCAGGTCTAGAGCAGGTAGAACAGGACTAGAGCAGGACTAGAACAGGACTAGAGCAGGAGAGCTAGAGCAGGACTAGAGCAGACTAGAGCAGGACTAGAGCAGGACAGGACTAGAGCAGAGACTAGAGCAGGACTAGAGCAGGACTAGAGCAGGACTAGAAGGACTAGGACTAGAGCAGGACTAGAGCTAGAGCAGGACTAGAGCAGGACTAGAGCAGGACTAGAGCAGGACTAGAGCAGGACTAGAGCAGGACTAGAGCAGGACTAGAGCAGGACTAGAGCAGGATAGAGCCTAGATCAGGACTAGAGCAGTAGAGCAGGAGCCGGCGGTCAGGAGCAGTGGGTTCCCGTCGGCTGGACTGCAGTAGATCCCGTGGACACTGTGAGGAGAAGGGCTAGAAGAGGACAAGAGTGAGAGACCAGGACCAGGACCAGGACTAGGGACAGGGCCAGGACCAGGACCAGGACCAGGGCCAGGACCAGGACTCACCAGGACTGCATCTCGGACAGAGGGGGG